GGAACTTAAATGGAAAAAAAACGACAATTGCAAAAAATCCCAGATTTTATTACTAACTGTAGTTCTGAACTCCAGGCTTCATAAACTGTGAGGATCGCTGAAGCAATTTGCCGAAACGGTTCAATGAGGCTTCATCTCAGCATCACTGGCTAATTGTCACACGCTAGTGAACAAAAAGCAATTCCTGCAGATATTCGACACGCCGCGGCACCACTGGGTTTCTAAAGACCGCGGTAGTAGATGCTACAAACACAGAAACGCTTGTTTGCTAGAGTCAAACAAGCATTTAAGATGGAAAATAAGCTAAAAAAAATAGCATTGTTTGTGTACAGAGACATACCGAGTGCAGCTGCTCTGGTGGCTCCCCCCCCCACACCACTGATGCTGCTGAGGGAAACTCACCTCAGCTTATAAAATGCACCGGGCTCTAGGATTGGTTAGACTCAAGGGCGTGTCTTGTGGTGTGTTCAGGTGAATGGAAAAAAAATGGGACCATGGAATGGAAAGTTTCACATGTAAGAGAAAGGTCACATGACGATGTGATCCTCTGCTGGTTAAACGATGACGTGGCGCGGCAAATATGGCCGCCAAATAATCTAAGAAAAGGTGTTTTAGATGACATCCAGGTGGAAAGAAGGGAGTGAAACCAGAGAGCTGCTGCTGCCGCGCGTCGTTCTTCCAGACGTTTTAGTATCTTCAGAAGAAACGGCGGCGGCTCCTTCATGGTGGAGCGGAACCTTTCAGTTTACCTGAACGGGCGCCACATTCCGCAGCGCGTTCAGGATCAGCCGTCACCCTGCTGACCTTTAGAAACCCGGAGATGACAAACGTTTCACCGTTTGCTTGTGTTTCAGTTTCAGAGAAGGACGGACCCAAGAAGAAGCGGGAGCTGCTCGCTGCGTAGGAGCAGAACCGACGTCCGACCCAAAGCCGGCGCCTCCCACCGCACACGCCTGCCGGCTGCTGTGGGTCAGATCTGCTCGGCAGGACCGGTCGCCTGGTGAACTTTGACCTGTGAAATCACATAATTGTGCCTGATATTCCTGTTTACTGATGCAGATCGTGCATGCTGAGTGTAATCACATGAAACTTCAATGAGGCGGGTCACTTCTCCCAGATTCCCTCAGATCAACATGAACTCAGTCATCCGGTTTCATCCGGTTTCATCCGGTT